TTACAGGGAACTGATGGCCTCCAGTATGAGAAATGCAGAACTAGAGGATTCATTGTTCAACCAGAACAGGGATTTTGTAAACAAGGGAGCCATCAGTGGCTCTGGTAGAGAGTCATTGGCCAAAGCATTTTAAAAAGTCAAGAATCTAGGACCCAGAGGTCAATAGATTTTTGTTAATCAGTGACCTTATAGATCCTTGATAATAGACATCATTGTTAACAAACTATACCAATTATTGTCACTTGTAAGATAAAGTCATATGAACTTGATGTAGACATGAAGGGGTTCAGCTGAGAAAAGTCCTTTTCAGCCATGGTGACAGCAAAGTTTGTGCTTCTCTGCCCTGTGATACAGTGGCCTCTAAACACTGAAGACCTCAGAAATTTAAGCCAGGTTTTTTTGTTTTTTTTTTAAATTCTTATATTTAACTCTGTAATACAGGGAGTCCTCACTAATGTGTAATAAGACAGTGAACAAGAATATTAGATCTTGGTTTGTTCATAGAGGATTCAGAGTGTTCCATTTCAGAGGGTGGAAGGAGATTTTGAAATGCTAATGAAGAGACTCCTTCAATAATAGCTAACACTGACTGAGCAGTTGCCGTGGTCCAGGCAGTGTGCTAACCTCTTCACGTGGAGTCACTGACTTCATCCTCAGAACAGCTTTTATGAAAGCACTATTATTCTATTGCTCATTTTATAGGTAAAGAAAATGAAACACAGGGAGGTTAAATAACTGAGCAATGTCCATGACTAGTGTAGCGAAGCCAGGGTTTGAACCCAGCAGGGCCACTGCACAGCCTTAAGCCACACGCTGTAGTGGCACTTGTCTTCAGGTGAGGCGTGCTCAGGTCACATCTGGACGCTGGTTCTCAAGATGCTGAATTGGCAGCGACCCCTGCAACAGTCTAGGAGGAAGAATGAAGGAAGGGGACATAAGATACTTGTCTGCTTGAGAAAGTGCCTCTGGCAGGGTTCTCTGGACTACATTGTAAAACTAAGCCTTTTATGCTTACTGGGGGGTGTTCCTAAGTTGTGAGTGAAGCCCTTTGGCCTAAATAACTTAAGATCTGTTGCAACCTCATATACATAAGGGGATAAATATTACCACTCACCTGAATCTTAATGTAGGTTTAGTCCCATTGATTGTATTTCTCCTAACTTACTGACAGAAATCAGTGGGGAAATAAGTATCTTGAAGGATTAAATTCCAGTCTGTATCCTCAGTTACACTTATATCCAAGAGTTGTCACAACAACAGTTGCTTAGAATAAATCTACAAACGGAACTCATACATAGGACCACAGAATCCTTCCTTCAGGGGCATGGTTTCAGAGTTGGAGGATAGTTAAAGGATAAATCAGTACACAAATTTGTAGGTATTCCTAAAAATTAAAGTGGTGTGTCCTTACTGGCATCAGTACATGCTGAACCCTGTTGGACTGTGGAGAAGGGAGAAACTGACCCCAACGACACAACACTCTACACAGCTGTTCCCAGCCTTCCTCCAGCTGTTAGCACTCCGTGTTAATTTCACGGGTTGAATCAAGGCATGTAAGTGCATTAAATAATTTTCAAAAACAACTGCTGCTTGCTGTTGGTCAGTGGGGAAAGAAAAAATAGGAGCTGTCATTTTCTTGCCAACTGCTGCTCTAATTAACAAGGACAAGAAACACATTATGAATAAATGAAATTCTTATGCCACACTAGAAAAAAAGAGCAGCTGAGCCCCCCCCAAAGGATTTTATATCCTGTTATCAGACAATGAAAGAAAATAATTTCATATAAATGGCTGCATTAGTCAGTGTCATAAATAGAAAGTAAGTCCCCACTTCTTTAAAAGAGCAGCTAGAAATATTTTCCCTTTGAGAATAGAGCAGTTATGTATTTGGTAAATCATATATAACATTGGTGACATTGGATGGTTTCAGGGCACAAGGTGTTTTGTTCATATATAACATTAACAATGTTAACATCTCTTTTCACATTAAAGAGAATTTCCATAGTAGCCTCCTTGTAATCTTTTATGGCTAAAGTTATGAAGAACATCAAGATATGGGAAAACTGGTCATGTTTCAGGATTTGATTTTCCTTTTCTGTTTGACCACCCTATCTGAATCCCCATAACTTGAATGTAAATTTGCATGTATAAAAATGTATGGATATCCAAGTCATCTCTTAGGAGAACTTTAATGTAAGTGTAAACAGGAAATCTTTTTCTAACAAAAAAAAAAAAGAAAAAAAATTAATATCGAAATCTGCCTTTTCTCATCCCTCCACAACCAAAACTGTCACCATGTATTGTAATTATACTTCCTAAAACTTTCTAGAGTCTTCTCTCCAGCCCTATTGCCATCCTCTGAATGAGGCATGCTTTACCATTTGTGTTAAATCAGCAGGCCTTCTTTATTCTCTTCATCATATCCACCTCCTCACTGAAGTCATCCATCTGCGTGGGTCCCCCCACCCTCCACCTGAATCCCTTCGTTGGCTTTTATTAAATCCAACTTCCTTATCTTGGCAAAGAGGGCTCTGCCTCCATGAGCTGGTCCTTGCTTACTTTTCTTGCCTCAGTTGCTGCCACTTTCCCAGACACCCTAAGATCCAACTTAGCAGTAATTCCCCAGTAGACCTCCCCGTGGAGCCACAATACATATATACCTTTATCCTAACATGTATCTTTGAAAATATAATTCCCTCCACCACATCCTTTTTTGTCACATTCCAAGATGTGCCGTGATCTAAACACAGAAATTTCAGCCCCTAATTGGGGCTGAACACAGTTGACTTGAATACAACTTAAATCGCTAGTTTGTTAGTGTATGTATCTTACCATGATACATGTGTACTTGAAGCTTTGTTCACTCCCCAGTTCCTGCCTCAAAACTGAAGAGTTTATTTTTCCAACTGCTGGAAGTCCTGCCAAACAGTCATCTTCAGGAATTGCCTTGTCCCCAACTCAGGACAACTGTGAAGGGGCTTTCCTGGTTTTCTATGGGGTCATCTGAGGCTCTGAGAGTGCATCAGTGCCTAACTTCTCCCCCTGTTATGTCTCTTCCTTATCTTAGGTCCTTTCTCAAGAACACTCCCTGAAAAACCTCCTATAAGCAATCTGTGTGCTTGCTGGGAAGCCCAACCTATAACATGTTTGTCTTGTTGATATTTTCTTTTCTGTTCTAGATCTTGTGAGATTATGGTTTGCTAAAATCTTACTAATTCAAGGTCATTTCATCAGACATGTATTGAGTACCTGCTCCATGCCAGGCCTTGTGCCACATGTGATGTCAACAAATTAAGACTTGACTTACGTCCTGAAGAAGCTTACAGTCCAGCTGAGGTCACAGTTACATTCAGAACTATACTATAGCATCTTCAGAATAATCTTTTGAACTAAACTTCAATAATTTATAAAATCAAAGGCATACAGTGTGGTGTTGCAAAGAACAAAAGGAAGTTATCTCAGGGAAATGAAAATAAACAAATGGAGTGAAATTTTAGAAGGTTACAGAATTTTTCTCTATGATTCTGGAAGCCTTTAGGGAAAAGGTAGTTTTTTTTCACTTTTTATTTTTATTTTTTTTTGAAAGATTTTATTTATTTATTTGACAGAGAGAGAGACAGTGAGAGAGGGAACACAAGCAGGAGAACTGGGAGAGGGAGAAGCAGGATTCCCCCGGAGCAGGAATCCTTAGGTGGGGCTGGATCCCAGGACTCTGGGATCATGACCTGAGCCAAAGGCAGGTACTTAACGTGAGCCACCCAGCCACTCCTCACTTTTTATTTTGAAGCAAGTTCAAGCTTCAGAAAAGTTATAGTACTGAACTCCCATACACCTTTATATTTATATGCATTAATCAATTTTTAACATTTTTCCACTTGCTTTAACTTTCTCTGTACACATCTACATGCACACTATTTTTGCAAACTCTGAAGTTAAATATGTCCTGTCACTTTATCTCTTAATACTGTAGTGTGTATTAAAAAAAAAAAAGGATATTCACTTAAAAATTTTTTTGTATACGGGGCGCCTGGGTGGCTCAGTGGGTTAAAGCCTCTGCCTTCGGCTCAGGTCATGATCCCAGTGTCCTGGGATCGAGTCCCGCATAGGGCTCTCTGCTCCACAGGGAGCCTGCTTCCTCCTCTCTCTCTCTCTCTCTCTCTGCCTGCCTCTCTGCCTACTTGTGATCTCTGTCAAATAAATAAATAAAATCTTTAAAAAAATTTTTTTTTGTATATTCACTCTTGGTAACTACAATATAGTTACCAAATTGAAGATATTTGATACTTTAATCTTACAGTCCGATTCAAATTGTTAATCATCCCAAAGAAGATGAGCTTTAAGAAGAGTCCTAGAACTTAACATTTGTAACTCAAACTAAAAATTGTTTGAACTAAGCCATAGAAGAGCTCAGAACTTTACTAACTTGATTAAAACGCCCTACTGAAGGGGGAGCCACTTCTGACTTTGTAAGGGGGAAGCATGGCTACGCCCAAGTTACCAGTAAAGGTGTGACTCCTGGCTCTCCAGAAGTGAGCCTACTCTGGAGAGCTCATTTCTCGAGGTGACTTTCGAAGGAGACCCTGTGTCCGGAATCCAGGGATCGTGGGTTTCCTTGAGCTTCTGTGTAAAGCACGTTATTGCTTGGTCTTCACGATGCTTAAGTTTAACGATGTTCTTCGGGGCCATCACTCATGCACAGGCTTCCGGCCCAGGGGGCCAGGGACTGCTCAGGGATCCTGGATCGTTGGAGACTCCTCTCCCCACCCCCAGAAAGCAGGGCTGCTTAGCTGGGGCGTTGCTGGGAGGCCATGCCCCACGTGCGACTTCCGGTCTCTTCCGGCACGGGCCGCCGGGACTCCGCGTCATTTCCGGCGGCGCTGGGCGTGGTCTGTTGGGCGTTGGCGGCGGTGGCGGAGGCGGCGGCAGCAGCCAAAGGCCTGCCAGCGGAGGTGGGGGAAGCCGGGTGGTGTCCGCCCAGACGCCGGACGGCCCTGGACTGCATGGCTTCCCCGTTGGAGCTGGAGAAGGACATGCAGGGGAAGGTGGGTTCGTTTCGAGCCCGCATCGCGCAGGAGGCCGAGGATCTGGTGTCCACCTTCTTCCCTCAGAAGCTGTCGGAGCTGGACAGTCGGGTCCAGGAGCTGCATCTGCAAGACCTGTCCGGAATCCGCTCGGTGCCCGCCCTGGAGCCCACCGCCGTGCCCGACCCCGTGGGGGACGCGCCCAACCGGGACCCGCCACCGCCGCTGCAGCCCCAGTCCTCGCTCAAGGTGCCGGCCCTGCCCGGGGGCGAGGGACGGCTGCTGCGGAGCAACCAGCATCTGGTGGGGCTGATTGAGCGGGTAAAGCCCGAGATCGAGCTGCTGAGAGAGAAGTGCAACACGGTGCGGATATGGGTGCAGCTGCTCATCCCGAAGGTGGAGGACGGCAACAACTTCGGCGTGTCCATCCAGGAGGACACCGTGGACCAGCTGTGGACCGTGGAGAGCACCGCTGCCTCCTACCTGCGCCGCTTCTCCACCTACTACAACACCAGGGCCAAGCTGGTGTCCAAGATCGTGAAGTACCCCCTGGTGGAAGATCACCGCCGCACGGTGGCCGAGGTGGACGAGAACGAGTATCTGAGCGTGCGCCGGATCCTGCTGCACGTTCGGAACCAGTATGCCACCTTGCACGACGTGATCCTCAAAAACATCGAGAAGATCAAAACTCCTTGGACCACCAACACTGACAACCTCTACTGAGGGCTTTTCTCCACCCCTCTTTCCTTCAGGAGGTGGTCCAGCTGTTTAGGCAGCCAAAGGGGGTTCTTAATGACTCTACAGGTGACGAAGCGACTGGAAATGTGCGTTACGTTTAATGACAGTTGCGTACGGCTTTACCCTCACACTCAGTCCTTGTGGTGTAGCTGTTACTTGCTTTTTCTTTCCCCGAGAGGATGAGGACAGACCATGGTAGGGTTGGCCAGGGAGGAGGACTGCTGTTTTTAAAAGCAGTTTTGTAGATGAATGTTGGCCAGGGTTCTTTTTTATGGCATTGGTGACATTGGATGGTTTCAGGGGTTACTCAAAGAAAAATCTAAAGTTCAAAAGAAAGTTAAATGAAGTCTTTCCTGAGGTTCTGCTATATGTTACTTTGTTCAAACCTCAGAAATGCTCCTTTTACCACCATCGTTTGTTTTTTGCAAGGAAAGGGGTTTAAAGGGATGTGTTTAGGTCATTGTATGTCTCCAGTTTGGCAGATTGAAATAAAGCGGTTTTAACATTTTATGATGTACTAAGTGTGCTTATCTGAACTGTAATCTTCAGAGGTATAGGATTTCTGTCCTCATTTGGACTCATACCCTTGATATTTTTCAGCTCTGATGCGTAAGAAAAATGAGCGTATAAAGAGTAACAGATCTTCATTGTTCTAAAGAAATGGACTGCCATGCCTCCCTTAGAATGAAAAGGACTCTATGAAAACTGCTTCCATGCACAGCTTTCTACCGTCTCTGCATCTTCCGGTTTCCTTTCACACAGCGTAGAATTCCTTCTGTGTATTCATTTATCTCCTGAGTTCCTGCTGAATCTTTTAAGCTTTGTATCATGTCTACTTTTTTTTCTCCTCAGTTGAATTTCATCTCTCTTCCCCTTTTGTCTCTTGAGATGTCTCTTACGGCCTCTCATTCGAATTTCTGTCTCACGTTATATGAATTACTATTTATATTTAAAGACTCTAAAATGTGACTGTGAGTTTTTTCCTCCTGCTTTTGCTGCCTGGTTGAGAGGAAACCATTATCTTTTCAGCCATGATCTATACTGTTGATATTTTTCAAGTCCAGCATTTCCAGATTTCAGTTTCGGGTGCAGTGAATTATTGCATTTTATGTCACCTCATGCATTAGAGTGAATTTCTTCTGATATGATTAATCCTTTGTCCATCATGGGTTTTGTTCAGAATTTTAGTTTTTTGATAATAAATATACTTCAGTCAGCTTAAGTATGTCTATTCAAAACACCTTTTCTTAGTATTACCGTCATTCAAGGATCTTCATCACTCAGAAACACTAGGTGTGGAGGTTATGTAATAACACAGTTGGAAAAGGCACGAGTGGGAGTTACTTTTGATACCTTTTTATAATAGGAGTGAGATTATTTCTGTGCACAATGGATAGCTTCGTCTCTTTTTCCCATTTAACTAACACCTTGTGCCCTGAATCCTCATAATATTTTTGAAACTTTATGCATACATAAGTATGACCTTACTTTTTTAAAATACTGTATAGTAATGCAATAAATTATTTCTCAAATGAGTTTTTGGTGGGAAAATGATGAGGGATTAAGTTTATTTTTTGTGAGAGATGAAAACTTATTTCTCATTGAAATTTCTTGTCTATATAAGATCCTCTGAAACGAGGTGACCGTTATAAAAGAGGCCATATCTGTTTTAAAGCTTACTTGTAATTCTACCTTTTCTCCTTTTTTAAAAAAAAAAATACCTTTGTAAGGATGTAGTTCTTGTTATAAATGCAGTTACCTTCTGAACTTGCTTATGGGTAAGGTCAAAATATGAATAATTTCATCTCTTCCTTCCCCATTTAATGAGTGAAATGACTTCTGAAGTGAAAACAAGTTTCTCTTCAAGTGTGTTTTGGTTGCCAAGGGTGAAAACCGGCATGAACCTTTATGTACAGACTTGACTTTACATGCTGTTGTAAAAACATTTCCTATTTATCAGCAAGAATTGTTTAAAATGTAAACAGCGATGTTTTCTTTTGCATGTTTTTTTAGACAAGTTATATTTCCAAGTTTGAACTACACCGCATTATTTGTGGCGGGTAGGTTTTTGTTTTTCTGAAGTGGTAGGATACCTGTTAGGTTTTCCTGAGGTTGGTGTCAGTATCTATCTGTCTAGGAAGTGTCTGATGATTCCTGGCATTTCTTCTTTCATTTTCCTTATGTGTTTCACTTGAAGGAATGAAAAGACATTTCTCCATGAGGAAAGTGAGTTGGAGACGTAAAATTCTGTTGCAGTTACCTTTGACTTTTAAAATTTTTTTTATAGTTTTATCTAGAAAATGCACGTTGGTCCTGTTCTTACAGAAATGGAGATGAACATTTTTCTATTCCAACCTGTATAGATTAGAAAGATTTGTCATTTGACTTAGTAGAAACTTTATTTCATAAGTAAACTAGAAAATTATATCCAGGCAAAACGAGTTTGTTCTTTCATTGAACTTCTGAAAAGACTGTCTTTCCAATCTGAGTTTGAGTTTTTGCCTCCTGCAGCAGCAACAACAACAAAAGATATGATTGAAAAATCTCTGTTTGCATTTGACGGCCCCCGTAGAGAGTTCTCTTTATTTTCCTTGTAAGGTGTTATATCCGAATCACAAAAGTGCCAGGAACCCTACTTAAGTCGGTTCATACAACTTGGCAGGCATTTAATGGCACACAAATTTGTAATGGACAGTGTTAAGGGAAGTCCACACTTGCTTAGTTTTCAAGCATAGTTAATCTTCTAAGGTTTAAAATACCTCTTCCATGCATGATACAACTATCATCTTCTGCTTGTTTCTTTTATTCTGAAGCTGTCAAACCTGTGCCAGATTGAAACAAATAGTCTCTAACACCCAGGCATGTCTTTTACTAAGAACATATGCTTGTCCTTTGTAGGTAAGGGTTTTTGATATTTGTATTTTCCCCCTGTTCTAATAATGTATCAAGCCAAATTGAAGTTGGAATGCTTTTATAAAGTCTCTTCTGCAAAAATTACGCCCTTTGTGATTTTCCCTTTCTTGAGAATGGTTGCAAAAACTATTAAAATAATAGACTTATTTTAAAAGTTGGTGTAAAAACATGGTTTCTAATGTATGTTATTTGCCTTTTATTAGTACTTACATCTCCATTTTTGTTCCTGTTAAAAATACCACTGAATTGAGAGAATGTTCTGATGTTTTATTCTTAAAAAATAGTTCTAAAAACTTACTTGGGGGTTAAATAATTTTAGTTTTAAATTACTTTTGTACTTTGTGAAGGCTACTAACTCAAATTTGATTGGAAACTTGGAAATTGATGTGGCTGTTAGAAATGAGTGAAAAATACATTTCTTAAATCATATAAATGATGTAGAAAAGGCTTAATTTTAACATTTAAAGTTTGGAGCTTAGAGGGTTTTTTAAAAATTACTGAACTGTTTATAGATTCCTGGGTTGTTGGAGGCAAAAATTTTTATAGTTTTTATGAAGTTTTCATGTGTCTGCAGAATTCTTAACCAAATGGCCTTAACCATTAATAGATAACTGTGTGATCAGTTTTAAAGTTTAAAAGAACTATCTTAACCCTCAATTGGAAAAATAATGGAGAAACGACTTAGAACCCTCTAGGTCAAAATTATTGAAGTGTCTGTGTGGGTTTCCTTTATTTTAAAGAATACATAAGTGTTTTTAAATCATTGCAAATTCATGATGTGTATTTCTATAGAGGAGAAGCATTTGTATTTAAACCCAATCTTACCAATTATAATTTCATTTGAGTGATACCCCAGATTCAGATAGCAATAGATAAACACCCTTTCATTCTGTTTTTCAGGGGTCCTTAAGTATGAGAATATTAGTCTGAGTCAGGGATTTTGACTAGAGTGTGGAAAATAGAGATCTGGTAGCCAGGAGGACATGTACCTAGATGACTGGGAGAATGTCTAGGTATTTAGATTAGTATTGTACTCTGCTTTTGGTTTGGGGTTCCCTATGGCATTAGCATATACCTGTAATTATTTAGTGCTTATCCCCCCCCAAGAAAAGCGTATTAATTACCTGTTTAAAATATGTACAAGAAAGCAATTACATTATTTTATACTGACTAGTTATTCCTGCTTGCATGACTTGTTATGAATAGGAGGGAATCCTACTTTCTCTGTCAACATTTAAACATTTCTGAAAGATCCTATTGTGCACTGACATCAAGGCATTTTTTAGAAATTACTGATCTTTTTGAAGAAAACAAAGGACTCAGTCAGTTAAGAAACAGGTGCTGGACCACCCTTGTTCTCCGCATTGGAACACTACACTAACACATGAGTATCTAACACATGCCCGCCTTGAACTGAAATTGTTCATGGGAAACAGAATATACATTTAGGAGTTTCATGACTTACCTTTTCATCAACAATAATGGGTGCTTTATATTAGACGACCATACATTTGTCTGTTGTTTTCTTTATTGGGCTAAGTCTCTCTCTCTTTTTTTTTTTTTTTTTTTTAAGATTTTATTTATTTATTTGAGAGAAAGCACACACCAGCAAGGGGAGGGGCAAAGGGGGAAAGAGAAGGACAAGCAGACTCCATGCTGAGCAGGGAGCCCAGTACCGACCTGAGCTCCTAACCCTGAGATCATGACCTGAGCGGAAATCAAGAGTTGGTTGCGGGTCAGTTAGCTGCTTAACAGACTGAGCCACCCGGTGCCCCCTCTTGTGTGAAAACTTTAAGTTCCTTAAGGTCAGTTAGCAGAATTTTATCAGTGAAGCTTAGTGAGCCCCGTCATTCACATTTAAAATGTCTTGCTGGTAAGCTAAATTTAATGAATTCTGTCACATAGAGAATGTCAAGTGTTATTTTTACTCATTCATGAAAAGCTGGCAGGTGCTGATGAACAGGAGGTGAACCTATAATCAGAATTAGATTCCTTTCACAATTTGGCCATTTGTTCTAGCTTTGTTACGCAAACTCACTTTTACAAAGTTTTACAACTTATGTCGGAAACAATAACATTTGCTTCAAATACTATTGGTTTCAAAGTGTAAAGCATTTTGAAATTGTTGAATATAGTTTTCAATTTAAATTTTTTGAGATTCAGAGATGTACTTTCGCCTGTTAATTTTACAGATGGAGAAATTAAGACCTAGAAAGTTACACAGTGTCATAACTCATCACAAAGCAAAGTCAAGAAGCCAAACCCTCTTCCATTTCAGGCTAACGGTCTTTTCACTGCTCTACACTATCTCTCTATTATCAATAAATGAGATTATGTTAAAAGAGAGTTCTTCTAGAAACATGCAAACTGGGAGAATTCCACAAATTAACATGTCCTTATGATGTGGTGTGTTACTTATTCCACAGAATTTAAGAGAAGTTGCAATGTTTCTAAACCTGCAAAATTTTTACTTAAGATTGTGTAAAGAAAAAATTTTTTAAATCTCTAAATTTATGTTAAATATAATTTGGTTATAAAAATAATTCTTACTGAACAAAACCCAGGAGAGTCTCAGTAGCTCCAATCCTATATCCTTCTGAGGAGGAGTTACTTTATACCATCAGGAAAGCCTTTTGTGTTAGAGGTTGGTGCTTTTAGAACATCTGGGGACAGACCAGGAGAAGTATATTACAAGAGTTTTTCACTTTTTTAATGTATGAATTTAAAATTTCCTACTAATCAACTCCGCCACTCCTAATCTTTACCACCAAAGAATTGCTGAATGGAGTTGTTACAGTGTTCGGGCTGCCGTTCCTAATAACCTACAGGATAAAGGGGGAAAGCAGAAGAGCTGTAGTTTGTTGGGGAGGAAGCCCGAAAGGGCCATTTCCCAAAAGAAGTTTATTCTCTAGCGCTGTACTGTATTCAGTACAGTAGATACTAGTCTTCAGATGTAACTGGACACTGAGATGGGCTAAAAGCATAAAAGGC